CTATTTGACCTGAGGATGCTACTGTTATATAAATATTAAATAATAATGCCACTAATAAGGAAAAGTAAGTTGAAAGGTGCAGTCAAGGGTGAAGGGAGATTTTAGGATAGAATGGGCCCTAGTAGCATTTAGAGCTGTCAATTAATTGCAGTTGATGCATGCAATTAATGCAGAACAAATTAACTAGATTTAAAAAATAGTCACGATTAATCAGTTTTAATTGCACTGTTAATAACAGAATATGAATGTACATTTAATATAAACATTTTGGATGTTTTTCTACATTTCAGTATATTGATTTCAATTACAACACAGAATACAAAGTTTACAATGCTAACCTATTTTTATTTTTTAATAAAAATATTTGCGCTGTAAAAAAGATAAACATGTATTTTTCAATCCACCTCATACAAGTCCACGCAGTCCTACTTCTTGTTCAGCCAATCGCTAAGACAAACAAGTTTGTTTACATTTACAGGAGATAATGCTGCCCCCTTCTTATTTATGATGTCACCTGAAAGTGAGAACAGGGGTTCGCATGGCACTGTTGTAGCTGGCATTGCAAGTTATTACTTGCCAGATACACTAAACATTCATATGCCCCTTCATGCTTCAACTTGTAGGCTCTAAAGCTTTACACTGTTTTGTTTTTGACTGCAGTTATATAAAAAAAATTCTAGGTTTGTAAGTTGCACTTGCACGATACTGTATGAAATTAATTGAAAAAATACTAGTTTTTATCTTTTTTTAGTGTAAATATTTGTAATCAAAATAATATAAAGTGAGCACTGCATACTTTGTATTTTGTATTATAGTTGAAACCAATATATCTGAAAAAGTCAAAAAATCCAAAATATTTATAATAAATGTAACTTGGCATTCTATTATTGTTTAACAATGCAATTAAAACTACATTTAATCACAACTTTTTTTTTAATCTCATGGTTAATTGAGATTTTTTTTGTAATTGTTTGCCAGCCTTACTAGCATACAATTTAATAGGAAACAGTTTGTTTGTGGAATTTCTCCTGAATTCTTCAGTAAAGAGTGCTTGGTTTAACTATTTACAATTACTATAGTTCATATTCTGTAGCAAGTTTGCCCCCTCCCCAACACACCTGGCCTGAAGAAACAGTGCCAAACAGCAGCTAGTCTCAACAGGGTGAGGTGGCTCATTTCAGTAGCACAAACCTCATAACTGAAGGATTCCAGAAGGAGAAGCTGGTCAGAGTGTACTTCACACTGGAGTCTCAAACTATCCCCGTCTTTTGTGAACAAAAGCTTTCCCTCCACCCCAGCATAATGGCCCACTGTAGACTCCTCAAAACACTAGAAAAATAACTTCCCCTCATGTGATATCCACTTAGGAACAAATAATGGAAGTGTAACGTAGAACCAGTATGGCGATGTCCAGGTCCAAACAGGGAAATGAGAGTGGGGCTGACCATGAAGGATGTCATGGGGATGCTAACTAGACTTGCCTGAGCAAGAAGTGGTTTTACTATGTAACCCTCACTGAGTAAGAAATAAATTTTGTTCATCACAAAGGCAGAGGCTCACGCTTTCCAAACACAAAGAGTAAGAACTTGGAGCCATGTTATGACTCAATGGGAAACAGCAGTTGATAGAAACATAGTCAAAACATATGCAGGAAAAAGAGTCTGGACTTATGGCAAAATTGCGGTCAACCCTCACACAGATGACCAACATCTAACAAATGGTCTACACAATTCTCTGTTAAACTATTTGAATTTTATTCAGGTGTGGGGCACAGAGCACCCCTTTTGGGATGCATCCAAGATGCATTTATCTCTCTTTTTTTTTTAAACCTTCTTTCTGCCACATGTTCAGTTGTTGAAGCTATAAGTGAGGGGAAAAGGAGATAGCCAGATCTGCAGCTTCATGATGCATCAACTGGTATCTAATTTTAAACTCTAGTGGCCTAGAGATGAAAAACTATGTATTCACTTTGCAAGCCCAAGTCACCTTAACCAGTTTTTACCTTTTTGATATAAAAAGGTATCAGACTGTATCAGATATAATTTAACATTAAAAACTATAAACCACATTGTCCTCATGGAAAAATACTCCTAAAACCAAGAGCTTTTAATTCTTAATCATCAATAGTATGTGCTTTAGAGACAATATTGATTTTTATTTTCTACTGTATTTTGTCTGACCTACAATGACCATCTAAATGAATAGAAGCACAAATAACCCCAGAGGATGCATGAGTTTTCTTATGGCTAGGCACATTCCTGTCACTTTCTTTGTTGTTCTGATAAATTTGTAATTAACATTTAAAAAGTATAACTATTGATATGTATGGATATGCATAGAGAGCAAGTATGTATAAAACTAGAGGTACCACATTCCTCCCCTCCCCCACAATTGTTTTTAGATCAGTTCACAAAGCCTGAGGTAACTGCTGATTGGTAGTGAACATTTCTGTGTTTCTGCTTACATAAGAACTGTTTGCAAAAATTGGGTTTGTCCTTCAGATCATCCAAAAGGTCTATAATTCTTCCACAAATCAGAGTTGTTTACTAGTTAGCATAGATTTGGCTACTCTTCATATCTCCTCTTTCTGTGAAAAAGAGCCACAATAAAGAAAGCAGGAAGCACTTGTATACTTTGTACTCATTAAATGCATAAATTCTCAAAGAAAATTACAGAATAGACAATGTGCAAGTTATTTAGAAATTTGGTGCAGTAAGTGGACAAAGTCAAGTCACCAAAATGTAAAGAGTCACATCTTTACCAATAGAAAATAATTAAAGCATGGAGGTCTCAGCATGATATGGGTAAGTCACTATTCTTAAACAAGGAGAAAGTGGCAAATGAAATAGTATCAATTGGTGTTGGGGAGGAACAGGTGGGCTCCACAATCTACAATTAATTTTTTCCCTCCAGGAGAAAGAAGGAAGACAACAAGTTGGGGGCACTTTCAGAGTGGCTGTTGTAGAGGTAGGTAGCTGGGAACCCGGACAATCAGCCTACATCAGCTGCAGCTGTGTTAACTATACTCATCCTCAATAGTTTAGGGAAATTCTCTAATATATGAAGAGAGAAATTCAGAGCAAAGGGAAATCCTAAATCAGATGAGTCCAGATTAAGATCAAAATCAAGTTACAATGAAAACCATTATCTGTTTAAGCATGTTTTAATTGGTAATGGCAGAAGCACAAAACTGCTTTTCCTCAGACAGATGTAGCGTCATGGTTTTGCAAGACTGCATGGAATGCACCGTGTAATCCACTTTTTGCCCAATCATTGTTCTAGACTCCAGACTTCCATTAAAAGTGTATGTAACCCTCAGGTTGTAAAAATAACTTTGAAATATGAATCAAATGTAATTTGAAGTGTTGTCTTCCTCATTCTACAAACAAACCAATAGCTCTGACAAGTGTCTCCTTTATCTCAGTAGGATATCAAGTCTGGATCATAATGGCAATTAAGATGTCAACATCTCTTTCAGTGCTGATAACTTTAGCAGAAACATCTAGAGAATGTTCCTGTTCCACAACCACAAACTAGCTTCCATGCCTCCTCAGATGTGAAAACCAAGCTGCCAAAACATCCAACTTCTAGCAATGTGCTGCATTATCAATATATAACTGTGTAGCACGCTGAAGACTGCACAATGTAAAATAAAGTTTAATATAAAGATGACTACAACCAGTACAGCAGCATCTTCATGTTCATATTTCTTTGGCACATAAAACCAGCAATGCTGGAACAGACCAGTGGTCCATCAAGTTTTGTACCCTGTCTCTAACAGTGGCCACTTCTGAGTACACCTCTACCCCAATATAATGCGGTCCGATATAACGTGAATTCGGATATAACACGGTAAAGCAGCGCTCCAGGGGATGGGGCTGCTTTACTTAGTTATATCCGAATTTGTGTTACCACAAGCGGTTCCTCTGCACCCGCCCGTTACTTGCTGCGGCCCTCCCCGCCCCCCCCCCCGCCCCAGCTCACCTCCGTTCCGCCTCCTCCCACGAGCACGCCGCAGCTCCGCTTCTCTCCCCTCCGTCCCAGGCTTGCCGCGTCAATTAGCTGTTTGACATGGCAAGCCTGGGAGGGAGGAGAAGCGGAGCTGTGGCGCGCTCATAGGAGGAGGCAGAACGGAGGTGAGCCGGGGCATGGGGGCCCCCCCGTTACTGGGGGGGGGCCTGCCCGGGAACCACTCCCCGCCCCAGCTCACCTCCGCTCCTCCTCCTACGAGCACGCCGCTCAGCTCCGCTTCTCCTCCCTCCTAGGCTTGCTGCACCAAACAGCTGATTGACACGGCAAACCTGGGAGGGAGGGGGGAGAAGCGGAGCTGTGGCGTGCTCGTGGGAGGAGGAGGAACAGAGGTGAGCTGGGGTGGGGTGGGGCCACCCGGGGAGGGTCGCAGCAAGTAATGGGGGGTGCAGAGGAACCGCTCCCCACTCCAGCTCATCTCCGCCTCCTCCCCTGAGCACGCCACCGCTGCTCCGCTTCTTCCCCCCCCCCCCCCCAGGCTTACTGGGACAAACAGCTGATTGGCGCGGCAAGCCTGCAAGGGAGGGAGAAGCGGAGCAGCGGTGGTGCGCTCAGGGAGGCAGAGCGGAGGTGAGCTGGGGCGGGGAGCAGTTCCTCTCCCTACCCTGATATAACGCGGCCTCACCAGAACACAGTGAAATTCTTTGGCTCCCGAGGACTGCATTATATCGGGGTAGAGGTGTACTTCAGAAGAAGATGCAAGAAACCTTGAAGAAGGCAGTTTTGAAAAACTTGCCCACAATAGTATAAGTTGTCATTCCTGTAAAATCTCTTTTTTTTAAATGAATGGAGCTGCCACTGAATTTCCAGTCTGTTGAAGCAGAATGTCACAGAATCCAGAGACATTGCAGCAGATTGGACTTACGGTCTGTGTCCAAGTACCTGAGGCTTTGACTATACGTGACAAAGATCAAGAATCATCACACTTGCTACTCAGCTGTAAAAATTTGACACCATAATTTTTTCTCTAAAAGAATTCTTTATTGTGCTGATCAACATTTTTCTCCTGGTTTTGAGGTTAGAAAACTGGTATTGGAAGAAGTAATTTCTTCCAAATGAATATTACTGAATCATGTCACAAAAGCTCAAAACAAAAGCTGCAAGAATTATTCCAAAGCAACCAGGAACCCTTGATGTTTATTTAATTTAACAGTATAAAAAGTAATAGAAAATAGAAAAGGTTACATATGATTTTGAAAAGGTCATATTTTAATAACTATATTTCATTTCTGGGATAGGATAACCATAAAAATGATGGTCCAATGCTTTAAAAATTAAAGTCTGTACACAACCATTATTTAAAAAAGCAACATTTATGGAGTCCTTTTGTAGTTATAAAACTGTAATTTTTCTTTTTATTTTTTTTTTAAAGTTGTCTTCCTGATGATTTAAGTGTTTCTTTTGTGGGTGGTGCAGTTTAGTTTGCTGGTGAAAGAAAGATATTGAAAAATACAGCAAACACCAGAAAGACTAAATAAGCAACAATGGAGATCCAAAATCTTGGATCTTTTATAAAGTTCTTATCAAAGCAGCTGAAAATGACATAACCTACTGACATCCCAGCTAGGCCACCAGCAATGTGAGCCACAAAGGACACCTTAAGAGAAAAAGAAGTAAACTGTTAAGTTACATTTCAAGACTGAGGAATACCAGCACTTCTGTAACATTATTCATCCAAGGATTTGAAAGCACTTATAAATATTACTTTAGCTTTAACACATGCCTATGAGATAGGTAAAGGATACTTAGGGATCATTAGTATTTAAATGTAGCTACTCTGATGGAAGGCAGTAGCTGTTTAATAGTGTACAGCTACATATCAAATTAAAACTGCAGGTGTGAATCTAGGGAGGTAGAATTAAATTATTCAGAACTGGGAATTTGGCTAGAATTTGGATATACTTTTATGAAGAGAGTCATGACATCTTTGACCACAGTTTTATGCTTCATCCAAAATACGCATGTCCCTAATGCCATGCTGGGACATTCCTTCAGAACTGACTCCAAGGGAACATGGTTCCCTACTGATTCACTAAAAGTCAGTGTGCACAGTATATAGAAATTCCTTGGAGGTTTCCAATTTAGAGTGTGACCAAGCCCAACCGTGCTTAACTTGAGATATGAAAAGTCACAGTATAAGGTGGCATGGCTGCAGGTGATATACAAAAATATTCAGGATGAGCAGGAAAGTTATAGATGTAAAGCATTCAGTTACCACAGTGATGAGTGCAGTATGAAAACCTAGATGGAAGAGAGAAGAAAATTAGATACATCTCTACCCCGATATAATGCGACCGGATATAACACAAATTCGGATACAACACGGTAAAGCAGCGCTCTGGGGGGGTGGGACTGCGCACTCTGGCGGATCAAAGCAAGTTCGATATAACGCGGTTTCACTTATAACGCAGTAAGATTTTTTGGCTCCCGAGGACAGCATTATATCGGAGTAGAGGTGTATATTAGATAGAACTGAGGTAAGAATGTATCATGAAATACACACACACACACACACACACACACACACACACACACTCTCTTTTTCTTGCATCATCAGGATGGCCACAAATGATCTGCTATGCCATGTTTACTTCCTTGTTATCAGAGTAATTGATTATTAAAGAGAGGTCCAGGAATAGTGTGTTAATTTGTGCTCCCTCTGCTGTTTGTGCAGCCAGGTACTGGGCCACAGTAGAACAAGACTGATTACTTCTCAGAAAGAGAGGAGATTTTGAATATTATAACAGAAGAGATTTCTAACCAGATAATAAGATGCCATAGTCCAAAATACAGATTTAGTTTGACAATATACCTGTAGCACTGCCCGATTACTACAAATGGAGTTTTAAAGTTAGTAGGTAAATTTAATACTTAAGGAAATAAGGGATTAATGTAGCTGGCAAGAGAGACATCGGAGCAAGCAGATGTCATGCTAGCTTCAAGTGTGTGTGGAATATATGTATGTTGTCACTCAATGTTGACGCCAACAAGCCTGCTATCCAGTCCCAGGTGTCTAGCAGAGTTTGCTAATCACAAATTGTGAGTTATGTTTATAATGTAAATAACATTGTCTATAACTGAAATGCAGCTATCTGAATCAGAAATAACTGACTTAATGTAGTCCATGCTGTCACTTCATTGTCGAATTTTCAGTGACTCTTGAGACAAAGATATTCATGTATAGCACTGTCAGTTAATAGTTTAAATTGAGCTACATAATGAGCTACATAACGAGCTACATTAAATTGATATAAATAAGGGCAAGGTTGAGAACAACAAATATCTTGTGTCGTAATCAGGATTTCAGTGTAAGTCTGTAGGAGTGAAAGTACATTAGTCCATTCTGTCCCAATGAAGTTCTTGAACAATAAGAAGTCTACATCTGAACAGGTTCACTGACAATGTCCCTCAGACCTCTTTCATTGGCTCTTTTCCCTTTTCATATTACCCCTGGGGGAATCTAATCCATCACCTCTATGCTGATGTCTTTCACATCTACCTCCCCATCTCCACTCAGTCACACCATCTCCAGCTGTGTCTCCAATATTTCCTTTTGGATATATTGCAATCAGCTTGAACTCAACATGAAGAAAACTGAACTTAGTCTTCTTTCTATCACTGTGGGCAATACTACCATCCTCCCTGTCCTCAAAGAATTAATCTCAGTGTGGTTTTCCTCTGTTTTCTTCTCTGCAACATGGATGCTGTCAATAAATCCTACCAATTTTGTCTCTTCAGCATCTTCAGAATCCACCTGTTCCTCTATTCCCACACTCCAAACCCCTGACCATGTCAGTCAAATCTCACTTCACCTATGGCAGCCTCTCTGACCTCATCTCACACCCCTCAATTGTTCCAAAGTATTCTGTAAAAATCACCACTGCTCCTACCACATTTGTCCCTTCTTTAAGTCCCTTAGCAGTTTTCTCACCTTCCACGTTAAATTCAAACTCCCTGTCTGTTTTTCAGGCTCCTGCCTTCTGGGCTCCCTCCTTGCTCCTGGCTACCTCTCTTCTATTCTTCTCCATGCCTGTGCTCAAGATGCTTGCCTAGGCATGTCCTAATTTCCTTCCTGCTTTATACCACGTGCCCCTATGTTAATGGAACAGTATTCCTGACCTGGTTTACCACTCCTTCAACCTCTCTTCCGCCACACCCCTTCCTCCCCACACCATTCTTCATAAAAATTTATTTATGGGGACTGTGCTATTTATTACAATTTAAATAGTTCAAGGGCGGTGCCCTTGTCTGCCCTTTGTTCTGAAAGATGAGTGTGCTGTCCATGCTCAAATACATAGTAATTCTTAAACACAACTATACTTCCCTTAGTATGCCCATTGTGATTAAGCAATAGACAGCAAGGGATAAAAGTCTTACTTTACTTACTCTGAGTTTAACCTAGACCCGTAGTTATCTTAATCAGTAGTAAATTACCTGCAAGAATTACTACACAAGTACATTGACAGTATAGTGGAGAAATCTACATGCAATGCTGTATTTCATAAAGATAATATTTTATTAAATATGTAGCCTGTTTCATGGCTGGATACAGCTTCTACAAGGAAAGAAGTCTTTAAAATGTACCAAAAATCTTGGTCTCAGACAAAGGTAACAGCTTATTACGAATAATAAGCACCCATCCCAGATCTGGGTGCCTATACATTATTTAAGTTAACAAATGTATCTTCAACTTTTTATAAGCCAAGTAGCTGGGAGGAAGAATTTAATCAGAAAAATTTGAATGATAATTGGGAACCATCAAAGAACACCTAACTAGATGCCCAAAAAGTCACAATCCCACAATTGAGGGAAAAGGCTCCTGGTTTAGAGGGGAAATGAAGGCAGCTATAAAAAAAGTAACAAAATGGAAGAAATGGAAAGTTGATAGTAATGAATATAATTCAGAAGTTAGGAACTGTAGAAAATTGAGAAGGGAAGTAAAAGGACACAGAGAAATCTATGGCTAACACAATTAAGGACAGTAAGAAGAAATTTTTAAAATATATTACGAACAAAAAAGTCCCAACAATGGTATTGGCCCACTACTAGATAGAAATGGTAGAATTAATAATAATACAGAAAAGGCAGAAGTGGTCAATAAATATTTCTGTTCTGTATTTGGGAAAAAAACATGATATTCTTATCATATGGTGATAACAGTCTTTCCATTCTATTAGTATCTCTGGAAATGTTAAACAGAAGCTAATAACATTAGACATTTTAAAATCAGCAGGTCCAGATAACTTGCATCCAAGAGATTTAACAAAGCCATCTAAGGAGCTTCCTGGACCGTTGATTTTCAATAAGTCTTGGAGCACCAGGGAAGTTCCAGAAGACTGGAAGAAAGGTAATGTGCCAATTTTTAAAAAGAGTAAACAGGGTAACTTGGGTAATTATAGGCTTGTCAGACTGATATCGATCCCGGTCAAGATAATGGAGTGGCTGGTACAGGACTCAATTAATAAAGAATTGAAGGAGGGTAATGTAATGAATGAAAATCAACATGGGTTTATGGAAAATAGATCCTGAAAAACTAATTTAATTTTTTTTTTATGAGATTACAAGTTTGGTTGATAAAGACAATAGTGTTGACCTACTACGCATAAACTTCTGGAAGGCATTTGACTTGGTACCACACGACATTTTGATTAAAAACTACAACCATATAAAATTAACATGGCATACATTCAAAAGACTAAAAATTGGCTCAAAATTTAGTTGCAAAGGAATCATCATTAAGCGGGTCTGTTTCCAGTGGGGTCCCTCAGGGATCACTTCTTGGTCCTACACAATTTAACATTTTTTTCCAATGACCTGGGAGAAAATACAAAGTCACTGATAAAGTTTGCAGATGACACAAAAGTTGGGGAAGTTGTAAATAATGAAGAGGACAGGTCACCAATTCAGAGCAAGCTGGATCACTTGGTAAAGTGGGCACAAGCAAACAATATGCATTTTAATATGTGTGGGAACAAAGAATGTAGGCCATACTTACAGGATGGGGGACTATCCTGGAAAGCAGTGATAATGAAAAAGATTTGGGCGTCATGGTGGGTAATCAGCTAAACATGAGCTCCCAGTGGGACGCTGTGGCCAAAAGAGCTAATGTGATCCAGGGAAATCTCAAGTAGAAGTAGAGAGGTTATTTTACTTCTGTATTTGGCATTGGTGCAACCATTGCTGGAATATTATCCAGTTCTGGTGTCCACAATTTGAGAAGGATGTTGATAAACTGGAGAGAGTTTAGAGAAGAGCCACGAGAATGATTAAGGATTAGAAAACATACCTTATAGTGATCAATAGATAGACTGAAGGAGCTCAATCTTAACAAAGAGAAGGTTAAGGGGTGACTTGATTACACTGCAAGTATCTACATGGGGAACAAATATTTAATAATGGGTTCTTCAATCTAGCAGAAAAAGGTATAACACAATCCAATGGCTGGAAGTTGAAGCTAGACAAATTCAGATTGGAAATAAGGTGTAAATTTTTGACATAGAAGGTAATAAACCATTGCGACAATTTACAAAAAGAGTTACGGTGGATTCTCCATCACTGAAAATAATATTTAAATCAAGATCGGATGTTTTTTCTAGCAATTATTCTGGGAAGTTCTCTGGCCTGCGTTACACAGGAGATCAGATTATGTGACCACAATGGTCCCTTCTGGCTTAGAATTTATTACTCTATGAAAAAAAACAGTTTACTTTCTCTCATAAGAACGTAAGAATGGCTATACGGGGTCAGACCAACGGTTCATCTAGCCCAGTATCCTGTCTTCTGACAGTGGTCACTACCAGATGCTTCAGAGGGAATAAACAAGGCATTTATTGAGTAATCTATCCCCTGTCATCCAGTCCCATCTTCTGGCAGTCAGAGGGTTAGGGATACCCAGAGCATGGGGTTGAGTCCCTGACCATCTTGGCTAATAGCCATTGTTGGATCTATCCTTCATGAATTTACCTAATTCTTCTTTGAACCCAGTTATAATTTTGGCTTTCACAACATCCACCTGCAACAAGTTCCACAGATTGACTGCATGTTGTATGAAGAAGTATTTCCTGATATTTGTTTTAAAGCTGCTGCCTATTAATTTCATTGGGTTAGCGCTGGTTCTTGTGTTACGTGAAGGGATAAAAAACACTTTCCTATTCACTTTCTCCACACCATTCATGATTTTGTAGACCTTTATCATATCCCCTCTTAAGTCATCTCTCTTCTAAACTGAACAATCCCAGTCTTTTTTCTCTCTCCTCATGTGAAAGCTATTCCATACCCATAATCATATTTGTTGCCCTTCTCTGTACCTTTTCCATTTCTAACATACCTTTTTGAGATGGGGCAACCAGAACATCATGCAGTATTCAAGGTGTGGGCATATATGGATTTATATAATGGCATTATGATATTTTCCATCTTATTATCTCTCCCTTTCCTAATGGGTCTTAACATTCTGTTAGCTTTTTTGACTGCCACTGCATATTGAGCTGATGTTTACAGAGAACTATCCACGATGACTCAAAGATCGGTTTCTTGATGGTAATAACTAATTTAGACCCCATCATTTTGTATGTATAGTTGGGATTATGTGCCATTGTGTTTCTTGGTGCAACAGGAATCACCACCATCTTTTACTATTTAAAACACTATTTTTCTACTAAATTCCAATAGTTAATACTGAGGTATTATCTAAGGTCTAGTAGAGCATTAGTTATAATTTATCCAAAGCTATTTTAGTGAAGACTGCACTTACTTGAGGCCCATTCACAGGAGCGATAAATCTTCTGTACAGAGCAAATCCCATATCTGTTCCAACTAAGAAAACACAATCATCATAAAAATGTTCATTCAAATTGACAAGACATTTCAGAAACAAATCCAAATAATGGTTGTAAGTTACAACATGGTATGTCTTCAAGTGGCATCTACAAAGCTAACTACAAAGAGATCATCTCACCCACAATTGAAGCAGTCACTTTTGGAGTGAAATGCAGGAGCTAGTAAAATAAGAATCTGACCAAATTCTACTCTCAGCCACGGGATTCCAACTCCTATGGACTTCAGTACCACCCTTCTAACAGAGCAAAATTTAGCTAGAGTTTTATCAAGCACCATACATAGCTGTGGCACTACACAGGTAATTATTAGTATTTAAAAGCGCAAAGCAACACTAAATAGTTTAAGGCTCAGATCAGTTTACATTATAGTTTAACTTAACCCCAATTTACATTTACACCTCTACCCCAATATAACGCTGTCCTCGGGAGCCAAAAAATCTTACCGCGTTATAGGTGAAACCACATTATATCGAACTTGCTTTGATCACCGGAGCGCACAGCCCCCCCCCCGGAGCGCTGCTTTACCGTGTTGTATCTGAATTAGTGTTATATCGGGTCGCGTTATATCGGGGTAGAGGTGTACTTTGTGGTTTTAGCAAACTGAATAATATGCAACTGATACCTCCCTAACTATTAGTATTTTGGACTCCAAATGGGCATTCATTTTTGTACAGTTTAATACTGGGTGTCTTGCATAGTTTTTATTCTCAAATACATACTAGGTAGGATTAAAATTACCTATAATCCCGATGAGGAGCAATCTGAAGACTCCAAACAAAGGAATCATTTCTCTGAAGTTCTTGGAGAGAAAAAAAGAAACAATTAAGCTATATAATTATACACACTGACTTGTACATGCATACACATACACACACAAAACAGTCCATTTAGGTATATTAATATACATTAAGTAACACCCTATATTTCTATAGCGCCTTTCAAACAATCACAAAGCATTTTACTAAGGACAGTCAGTATCATTCTCCGCATTTTACAGATGAGGAAACTGAGGCACAGAAAGGGAAAGTGGCATGCCCAAACTCCAACAACAAGTAGCTTAATCCACTAGACCACCGCTATTATCACATCTTTCACATTCCTCCTTATTTTATAATGAAAACATATGTCCTTTTGTATGCCTTTTGGTGATAAAAATTACTAAAAAAGAAGATGCAATCTGCGTACTGTCAGCCCTTTGAGAATGATTATCCAGCAAAACAATGTTTTTGCCTTACCCAAAGGATACCAATTTTCTTTAGAGCCTCTCATGCCTTTGGTGGTAGAGACTCAATGCTATTTGCTGAACCAGGCCCCCTCTTTGTTTACTTGAAAACTATGGTGATGTGAACTCTTTAATGTATCATTTATAATTCATACTGCCTGTGATCACACAGAAAAGAAAGGTTTGACTGCTGACTGAACTTCTTAAGAGAAAATTTGCTGAAGAACTGATGTTTCCATGAACTAATGTTTAGCAATGTTTAGAATTAAAAAAAGAGTAGGACCCACCTTTGGTGACTGATTAAACTAAATCATTTTTTAAAAAGCCACCCAGCTTCTCTGACACTAGATATCACTGAAGCCAAGATCTTAATTAGCAAACAAAAATATGTTTAGTTGCAGTTAAGGTTAAGGTTATGTAGCAGGACACTTCATCTGAAATCTTAAAAGAAAAAGTAACAAGTTACTGGGAGAGACCTATGCACTCCTTTCCACCTTTGTTTTCCCTAAAACATTAGTGATAATGCTCCCCAACACTCCATACAGTTTTCACTTCCATCTCCCACAAACACCAAAAAAATCAGTATGTACCCCAGCTTCATAAAACTTGCATTCCAATGCAAAACCTTAACAGAGACCTCATGTGCTTTTACATTGATTATACTGAGAGACCAGAACATCTGATTGTCACACATTTCAAGTATTTGGGAAGTTATTCTGGCTAAACAATGCTGAGGTCACCAAGATTTTACGTTAGACTACAAGTTTGATTAAGCTGGGGTTTGTATTGCTTTTTGGTATGTGTGGGAGATAGACATAAAAGATTCACAAAATAAAGTTTTGTTAAGTTGAACTACTGCAACCAAAATGAGATCAATACAATTAGACATTTACATGAATATATATAGCCAAAATTATTTTTTAAAGGGATATACAAACCCTCATGCTTCAGGGCATCATTCAAGTTCTAACTGAAGCCCTAGAGTTTAGGGTTTTTTTTGTTTGTTTGCAGCTTATTCCATAATTGTCTACTATGGAGTTTCTTGTACTTCTAAAGCATCTGATTTTGGCAACTAGCTGAGACAGAATACTGCACTACATGGGATCGCAAACGGCAATTTCTATAGTCCAATGTCACTTTGGCTGAAAAATGATGTCAACTGCTAAATTCACTTTTTCCTCTTTTAATACCAAAAAAAGCATCTGTGAAGCTTTCATTTCTCAAGGACAGACACGGTTTGTTCAGCACATATGTATGTGGGAGTTGCATTTTCCTTAATTATTCCTTTGCTGAAAAAGTCTGAACATTTTATTTACACAAATAAGATTGATCCAAAAGTGAACAAAGATTCACAAAGAAGCTGTTTTTTTCTGTGCATTTCTGATTATTTCCTTACCACTAAAACATTCATAAAGTATCCTCCAATGAGAGCATAGACTCCTCCTGAAGCCCCTACGAGAGCCTGGAGGGGATCACAGACTGAGCTAGCCAAGGAACCTGAAAAGACAGAAATGTCCTTAGAACTAGAGACCTAATGGAAACTTTAAGATGACATTTTCTGCAACCTACATCAATAGAAGCTAAAGATCACAACTGAAATTACAGGAGATTGACAGATACATTAGAAACTGGGGAAAGAAAACAAAAAGAAAAAAAAGGCCAACTAAAGCTTTACCTACACCAGTGGTTCCCAAACTGGGGTTCGTGAACCCCTGGGGGTTCGTGAAATGTTACAGGGGGTTCTCGGAAAAAAATTCCCTAATGGCGGACAGAGCTGTCCCTAGGGACCCTGGGCAGCATGGGGCCAGCAGCCTGGAGCCACTGGACTTCCACGAGCTAAGCAGATCAAAGCAAGCATATCTATCACACTGAGGAGATTTAAACTTCAAGACTCCTTATAAGAAACGGAAAGGGAGGTGGATATTTTTTGCTGTTTTTAAAATTAAATAGGCAGCTAGTATTGTTTTTTTTTTTTTTAATTATTATGAAGAACAAGTTTAAGCTTTGTTGTAATGTGAATTGTTTGCCTGGACTGCTCAAGACCTGAATGCTTGTGTAGGAGGAACTCTTTGAGTTGGCTTCTTAAATACCTTCATGATGTTTCACATCTGATACTCCTTGATGAAACATAGGAGCCTTGTCTTATAACAGGCTTATTCAAAGTGATACAAGCTACAAAAGTGAGATATTGGAAGAGTGTCGCCATTTTCATAATGTAATAAAAATACTGTAATGATAAATAATAATAAATAATAAATAGTGTGTAATATGCATGTCATAAAAACAAATTTTATATTTCCCAGATCACTGCTTTTATAATTTATACTCAGATAAAGGAGAAAATCCCTGGAAATATTCATTTTTAGGAGGGGGTTCGCGAGACTTGACATTTTAGTGAAAGGGGTTCACAGGTTGTTGAAGTTTGGGAACCACTGACCTACACCAATGTGATGCGGCCGTGAAAAAGGCTAATGCAGTCCTAGGATGCACCAGGTGAGGTATTTCCCATAGACACAGAGAAGTGTTAGTACTGTTATACTGATGAGTCCTCATCTGGAATATTGTGTGCAATTCTGGTCTCCCATCTTTAAGAAAGATTAATTCAAACTGGAACAGGTGCAGAGAAGGGCTACTAGGATGATCCAAGGAATGGATAACCAACTTAATGAGAGGAGACTCAAAGAGGTTGGCTTATTAAGCCTAACCAAATGAAGGCTGAAGGGAGATATGATTGCTCTGTATAAATACAACAGAGGGATAAATACCAGGGAGAGAGAGAGGAGTTATTTAAGTTAAGCACCAATGTGGACACAAGAACAAATGGATATAAACTGGCCATAAACATGCTTAGGCTCGAAATCAGATGAAGGTTTCTAACCATCGGAGGAGTGAAGTTCTGGAACAACCTTCCAAGGCGAGCAGTGGGGGAAAAAAGCCTAACTGGTATCAAGACTGAGCTTGATAAGTTTATGGAGGGGATAGTAGGATGCGACTGCCCACAATGGCATGTAGCAAATCTCCAACTGCTAGCAGCAAATATCTACAATGGCTGGTGATGGGACACTAGATAGGGAGGGCTCTGAGTTACTACAGAGAATTATTTCCCTGGTGTCTGGCTGGTGAGTCTTGCTCACATGCTCAGGGTCTAACTGATCACCATATTTGCGGTCAGGAAGGAATTTCCCATGAGTCAGATTGGCAGAGACCCTGGGGTTTTTCAGCTTCTCTGCAGCATGGGGCACAGGTCACCTGGAGGTTTAAACTAGTGTAAATGGGGGATTCTCTGTAACTTGAAGTCTTCAAATCATGATTTGAGGACTTCAGTAACTCACAGACAGAGATTATGAGTCTATTACAGCAGTGGGCGGGTGAGGTACTGAAGCCTGCAATGTGCAGTTGGTCAGACTAGATGATCATGATGGTCCCTTCTGGCCTCAAAGTCTATGAGTCTACTGTGACAAAAATAGGTCTACAATTCACTACCAGTGAAGCTCCACTGTTAGGACAGCTAGTGTAGACAGGGCTCAGGCATTTTTACAATATCAACTAGCACAGCTCAGCACACCTTTAGACAGTGACATAAAACATCTAAGCCTTGTCACCACCTCAACAGTGAAAAATGTACTGGCAATAAATTATAGGTCCCATTTCTGTCCATGTGGACACAGTGGAAAGACAATTTCCCCAGGCTCCAATGCCCTCTCTTCCTGTTGGCGACTACTGCCTGTATTGCTTATAACAGACAGATTGGAGAAAGTCTACCAAAGAACATATATCAAAATATATGGAGTCCTTATTTAGACAAAACTAATTTATTTCAATGCAGGATTTGACCGCTATGTATAATTAAAAATGAATTTTCAGAATTATTTAGAAGTACCCACCTCACTATCTCCAGATCTGTGTTCCCTCTCAGGTGCACGGCTGCACAAGACGCCATCCAGGGGTGCACACCAGCCGTACACACAGATAAGCGTGGAGAAAGTGTAGGGAAGGAGGGTGGGTGGGGGCAGTGATGGGGGTTTGGGGGAGCTTGGGGTGTGCAGGGCTGGGGGGCGGAGAGACGCCTCTCTCCCCCAGCCCCAGCTCCGGCCAGGGCTGCAGCGGGGACAGGAGCAGGCATGCTGGAACAATTTATATATTGGGGTGCTGAGAGCCATTGAACCAAAACTGTAAACCCTGTATATAATGGCAACCACTTCAACCCAAGGGGTGCTGCAGCACCCCCAGAACCCCTAGTTCTAGCACCTATGGACAGGAGACACGCCTCTCTCCCCAGGCTCCAGCTCCAGCCGGGGCTGCGGCAGGGACAGAAGACATGCCTCTGCCCCCGACTCCAGCTGTGGCGGGGACAGGAGAGGCACCTCTCTCTCAGCCCCAGCTCCAGGGCTACAGGCACCTCTCCCTGGGCCCCAGCCCCTTTTTTTCCAAGGAAGATCCTGTGTTATAGCAATTAAATGTTTCTATTCTTTGTTCTGTGGTGCCTCTATTTACACAATTTATGGGGATAAGCAGTATTGTATCTGCCAAAAATATATACCTTATTGAGTCTGATCCACATCCTGAACCAAGATTTATACAAAACCATGAAATACCACACATTACTACCTTTAACCAAAGAAAAATACCTTCAAGACATCATACAGTTTTTATTTCATTTGGTGAGGAATCTCACTTTAGGTTCAGCTTTGCACTGCCAGCCACCAGATTAAATTCTGAGCAAAGGGAACTGCAACCTGAAATATGGGTTGTACATTATAGGATTTCATTTTTTTCTGCTCTTCAGAAAAGCCTGTTATGTGCATAAGACTTCAGTCTATGCGCTTGCAATAGTGATAAGGAAGCCGTTCTAATATGATACACTTGAAGGGCCAAATCCTCAGCTAGTGAAAATCGAAGTAGTTCCACTGACTTCATCGCTGCTGTACACCAGCTGAGGATCCGGCCCTAAATGTCAGATTCCAGGAAATCTTTATGGTCCCCATATATATATATATATATATATATATATATATATATATATATATACACATAACAAAATTAATTCCGCACATGAATGGAAAAAAATTAGAGGGAACATTGCTCCAGACCTATGAATGGCCTCTTAATGGATACTGCAATTGTACGATGATCTCCCAGCTGAAGCTATGCTTTGAGGATACGATAAGACTCAGAATACAGTTCCATCTGAATGCATGAGAATACAGAGGTTTGTGAATTTTTGCAATAACTGCCATCAGACTAAACCCTTATACTCAACATTTTATAATGTTCCCCGAGAAAGGAATTGTTCTACCTTTCATCAGTAGAAACTTGTCAATAAAAAGTTATATTTATAAATTATAGCGATTTGTTAATATGCATGTCTTATCATTCAACAGGATTTAAGCAGCCTTAATAGGGAAGTATTAAAACAAGCACCAGAAGTGGTAACCAAGCATTATACCTAGAATTAGAAGCAGTAGGGAGGAGACAAGTCTTGTTTTCTTGGTGATGGAGTAAGATTACAGAGGAACAATGTTGTTGCTTCTTTAATTTTTTTTTATTTAGAATTAACAGAAGCTCTGTTAATTCTAATAGAATTAACCGACTGAAGACGGCAACAATAACCAACTTCAAGATGTGCTTTTACAGGAACAATATCTGTGCCTATTTTTCTAGAGTCCATAAACTGTAGACTTTAGAATGCAGAATAATAAATGCAGTTTACTATTTCCATTGAGAATTAATTCAATTTACTTATCCATTTCAAAGATGTTAATTGTAAAATACTGCCCGCTAACACTTGGTATGAATTTATATTTCTGTATGGATGAATTAGAGTGTTAAAAAATTTGGAAGGGAGAATGGCTAAAAAGTTGAAAGAAACATCTGAGTGGAGTGGAGTGGAACATAGGGTTGTTTTCTAGTATGTTATTATGGTAAAAGTTTGGAGTCAAGACATTCTCTGCACCAAGAGAACTGGTTATGTTACACAATCCAGTATACCAACAACTTTGATTGTCCTGTTCGGGAAAGGGGATGTGGCAATAATATACATTGATTTTCTGATACAGACAGTTCTTCATTTAAGCTTACCCATTTCCCATTACACACTGACCTCCAATCACTCCTGCGAGATACACCAGACTAACCCGATGCCCTTTATGAACCATTTCTAAGGGGATCCCCAAAATAAGTTGCAGAAAGAGATTTCCTAAAATGTGTTGAATGCTGCAAGGAAAAACATGTTGATATTTGAAAATCAAAATTTTAGTTAACAAACATTTAAAGTTTTCTCAAACTATAGCTAATACATAATAAAATGGCACGCTAGCATCCTGGGGGCATGCTTTATTTCTACAGCCAAAATAACTTTTTTAAAAGTTAGTAAGACAAAATAAAAGCTGTTATAAATTATATACTCAAATAACTCAAAACAAGTAAGCTTTACTTTTTAGGGGGTGGAGTCAGGGCTATGCATTTGGATCTGGAAGGCCAGAGTCTGCATATAAGTCAGAGTAAGGGACTCTGGTGGAAAGGCAGAACTGGAGCACAGATTATGAAGAACAGGTCTCAAAACAAACAAACAAACAAAAAAAAGGTAAAAACATGGCCATACTGGGTCAGACCAATGGTCTATCTAGCCCAGTATCCTGTCTTATGACAGGCCAGTGCCAGATGCATCAGAGGGAATGAACAGATCAGAGCAATTATCGAATGATCCATCCCCTGTCGTGCTGTCCCAGCTTCTGGCAGTCAGAGGTCTAGGGACACCCAAAGAATGGGGTTGCAGCCTTGACCCTCTTGGCTAATAATCATTGATGGACCTGTCCTTCATGAACTTATTTAATTCTTGTTTTAACCCAGTTGTACTTTTGGACCCTAGCAACGAGTTCCACAGATTGATTGCACATTGGGTGAAGAAGTACTTTCTTATGTTTGTTTTAAAGCTGCTGCCTATTAATTTTATAGGGTGACCCCTGGTTCTTGTGTTATGTGAAAGAGTAAATAACACTTCCTTATTCACTTTCTCCACACTACTCATGATATTTTAGACATCTATTTTATCCCCCCTTAGTCATCTCTTTTCAAAGCTGAACAGTTCCAGTCTGTTTAATCTCTCCTCATATGGAAGGTGATCCTTGCCTTTAATATTTTTTGTTGCCCTTCTTTGTACCTTTTCAGGTAGGATTAAAACTATACTACAGCCATGCTATCTATACTACCTTGTACTGATCTCGCAAACTAAACACTGATGGATTAGGTCAGATTTTGGAATGGAGAGTGACACCTCACTGCTGCAGGAAGTGGTGCTGGCAGTTCACTAGGTGGAAATCTTGTCATTACTGACCCTGTCATGGGGTGCTGCCCTTGAACCTGGCCCCCTTTGTGGCCCTGCAGGTTCATTGCCTCCAGCACCAACTCAGGTTATTTCAATTAATTACCTAGACTGGTAAACCAATATCACTTTTGTAGGAGTCTGATTTATTAACTTTTCTACAGCATGTAACTCACTTCTGAGTTGAAGTTCATGTCCCCTGTGGGTCCATGTAAGAGTCCTTATAGACTTTTTGCTCCTGTTCAGGAGGTCCCAGCCCTCCTCCCAGAGCTGGGTGATATTTCCAACAGTTTCTCTCCTTAAAACTGCAGCCTTCCATTCTCCTCCTTTGAGCTGGGTTATAATTTCGGACAGCTGTAGGGCCTTATCCACTTTCAGCTGGCCCCTTACCCCAATTAGTTCTCAGGCTCAGAGGGTGCAGCAGGCAGTGCTCTCCTGCTGTTGTCTGCCCTGTTATCGGGGAAGAGGCAGCATACTAGTCCCCTTCTTCCACCTCATACCCAGTTGGTTGGGCGAGAGAGGAGCCTTGCCCTGCCCACTCTGCAAGGCTCCTGATCCAAGGCCCTTAAAGAAACAGTAATAAAATTTCTCCCAAACATTATTTATTCCTGGGACTGCTTCCTCTCCACAAATACCTCTTATTTCTTATCCTATATCAAAACCTCCCAAAATATGAGAAGGGCCATGCCATGTGACTGGGGTGGGCTCACAACTAGGCACCACTACCTTTAAAGGGGACAGCCTATCATGATGCAGATCCTACTGCCTCAGTACGGTGCCCAGAAGCATCATCCTGCAGACAAGTCTTAAGACTAGGGTCCTGACCACATGATCTTTATAAATCTTACAAGGTAAAATCTTCCATTTTCCTAAATGGATACATAAATTTTTGACAGACTGAGATTTTCAGAGGAACCTAATGGAATGACACCTAACTCCCTTTGGCTTCTCTGAAAAACCTGTTTAGAACATAAGAACGGCCAGACTGGGTCAGACCAAAGATGCATCTAGCCTGTATCCTGTCTTCTAACATGGCCAATGCCAGGTACTTCAGAGGGAATGAACATAGCAGGTAATCATCAAGTGATCCATCCCCTGTCGCCCATTCTGGCAAACAGAGGCTAGGGACACTATCCTTGCCCATCCTGGCTAATAGTCATAATGGACCTATCCTCCATGGACTTATCTCGTTCTTGTTTGACCTTGTTATAGTCTTAGCCTTCACAACATCCTCTGGCAAAGAGTTCCACAGGTTGACTGTTTGTAGAGTTCATTGTTACATTGCTTACCCAGCATGCACTAGCATATATGAAATGAATCTCCAAGTTTCTTCCCTCTTGTCAGGCCTATAAATAAAGGGACTGTTCCAGACACCTGTATCCAGCGTGATCCACTGTTTCTGGGGCTTCCAAACAGCATAATAAATGAATACAGCCAGCTGGAAACAATGAGAGACTTTAACAACTTCTACAACGATTTGGAATTATTAAATATAAACAATTTTCCTCCAATAATCCCAAAATCCTTGATATATAATTGTCTCATGGCAGATTTCAAACCTTCTATATACAGAAATGCATAATTTCACTAACATACAACTATGTGTGTAATGGTCAGAACACACACTGGAAACAACAAAAAGGGTAGAGATGCAAAATCAAGCACTCAAATTAGGAAATACCCGATTTAAAGGGGTTCTTGCCACTGTGCATGTTCTTTAATCCCACTGATTTAAATGGATTTTAAGGATATGCCTGAGTATTCTGCTGAATCAGGATCTGAATGATAGAGCAGTACAGTAACTCCTCACAAAGTTGTCCTAGTTAACGTTGTTTCGTTGCTGATCAATTAGAGAACATGCTCGTTTAAAGTTGCGCAATGCTCCCTTATAATGTTGTTTGGTAGCCACCTGCTTGGCCACTGCTTGCAGAAAGAACAGTCCGTTGGAGCTAGCTGGAGGGGGCTTGGAACCAGGTTGGACTGGCAACCCCCTATCAGCTCCCCGCTTCCGTAAGTTCCCTGTGCGGCAGCCACCCAGCAGGCTATCAATTGCTGGGCAGTTCAGCTGTCCCTCCCCACACTGCCCTGTGCTTCTCCTGCCCTCTGCCTTGGAGCTGCTCCCGGGAGCCTCCTGCTTGCTGTGCAGAGGGTGGATGGGGAAGAGGGGTGCTAATGTCAGGGTGTCCCCCTCCCCCTATATCTTATCTCCAAAGCGGGGGATGGGGGGGTGGGACGGACACCAGGATGGAGGGAGCTTGCTGGCAGCAGCTGCTGTCTCAACTTGCTGATCTACTTAAAAAGGCAATGTACTTAGAGTGGGGTCAGCGTACTTAAAGGGGCAATGCGCGTCTCTCTCTCACACACACGGTGTGTGTCTCTGTCTTTCTCTGCCATGCTGTCTCCACTCCCTCCATTTGTGCTGCCTTGGAGAGTGTGAGGCTACATTAACAACAATGTGTTAGGAGTGCTATTTCATCATTTATCACTAAGGCATTCCCTGGGAAATATCCCACCCTCTTCTACCCTCTGACTTGACCACCTCAACCAAGCTTCACAATCATTGTTGCTGTGTACAGTATTAAATTGTTTGTTTAAAACTTATACTGTGTGTGTATATATTATATAAAAAATATAAAATATAGTCTTGTCTGGTGAAAAAAAAATTATCTCAACCTTAACCCCCGCATTTATATTAATTCTTATGGGGAAATTGGATTCGCTTAATATCGTTTCGCTTAAATAGCATTTTTCAGGAACAACTACAACGTTAAGTGAGGAGTTACTGTACTGTAGAACTTGCATCTGAAGAAGTGAGGTTCTTACCCACGAAAGCTTATGCTCCCAATACTTCTGTTAGTCTCAAAGGTGCCACAGGACCCTCTGTTGCTTTTTGTAGAACAAGAAGTTTGTGATATGCACAAAGGGACAGAGTTAAGGTTGCACAGGCAACCTCAGTCCTAGCATTTCCTAATGTTCAAATGCCTGGTTTTCCAACTCAAACATTATTTTCACACAGGAAATAACATACAAACACTGGACTTTAAAAAAAGAAAATTGAAAAAATGAAGGAATTCCATCATGTATTTGCTAGACCACAGAAGAACAAGTCAGGATTCCTGGTTCTTTTCCAGGCACTGGGTATGCAGGACTTCATAACCAAAAAACAATTTGGCCTATACTTTCAGTGAGACAGTTGGATTAAGTGGCTGAAACTGGAATCTGCCACAGAAATCTCTATTTTATCAGCATTTCTGCCAGAAGTGAGCTTGTGAAATGTCTAAGATCCTTAGTTACTTCACATATAAAATGGGGGACTAATACTTGCTAGGGATATGAGGTCTTGCTGGATAAAGATTGAGAAGTGGACAATTAATAACCAATCAGCGGAAGAGGCAAGACTAAAATTCCTGGGCTCACAGCCTAGTTGCATCTTCCCTCAGCCAAAGGATATTTTGACTGGGGAGGACAGCGAGCTCATCAAATTTGGGAACATAAGAATGGCCATGCTGGGTCAGACCAAAGGTCCATCTAGCCCAGTATCTTGTCTTCCGACAATGGCCAATACGAGGTGCCCCAGGGGGAATGAACAGAGCAGGTAATCATCAAGTGATCCATTCCCTGTCGCTCATTCCCAGCTTCTGGCAAACAGAGGCTAGGAACACCATCCCCGTCCATCCTGGCTAATAGCTATTGATGTACCTATCCCCCATGAACTTATCTAGTTCTTTTTTGGCCTTCACAACATCCTCTGACAAGGAGTTCCAAAGGTTGACTGTACACTGTGTGAAAAAATACTTCCTTTTAAACCTGCTGCCTATTAATTTCATTTGGTGACCCCGTGTTCTTGTATTATGAGAAGTAGTAAACAACACTTCCTTATTTACTTTCTCCACATCAGTCATGATTTTATAGAGCTCCATCATATCCCCCCCTTAGTCATCTCTTTTCCAAGCTGAAAAGTCCCAGTCTTATTAATCTCTCCTCATATGGCAGCTGTTCCATACTCCTAATCATTTTTGTTTCCCTTTTCTGAACCTTTTCCAATTCCAATATATCTTTTTTGAGATGGGGCGATTACATCTGCACACAATATTCAAGATGTGGGTGTACCATGGATTTATATAGAGGCAATATGATATTTTCTGTCTTATTATCTATCCCTTTCTTAACGATTCCCAACATTCTGTTCGCTTTTTTGACTGCCACTGCACATTGAGTGGATGTTTTCAGAGAACTATCCACAATGACTCCAAGATCTCTTTCTTGAGTGGTAACAGCCAATTTAGACCCCATCATTTTATATGTATAGTTGGGATTATATTTTCCGATGTGCATTATTTTACATTTATCAACATTGAATTTCATCTACCATTTTGTTGCCTAGACACTCACTTTGAGAGATCCTTTTGTAGCTCTTCGCAGTCTGCCTGGGACTTAAATATCTTGAGCAATTTTGTATCATCTGCAAATTTTGCCACCTCACCGTTTACCCCTTTTTCCAGATCATTTATAAATATATTTAATAGGATTGGGCCTAGTACAGACCCCTGGGGGACACCACTATTTACCTCTCTCCATTCTGAAAACTGACCATTTATTCCTACCCTTTGTTTCCTATTTTTTAACCAGTTACCGATCCATGAGAGGACCTTCCCTCTTATCCCATAATAGCTTACTTTGCTTAAGAGCCTTTAGTGAGGGACCTTGTCAAGGCTTTCTGAAAATCTAAGTAAACTATATCCACTGGATACCCCTTGTCCACATGCTTGTTGACCTCTTCAAAGAATTCTAGTAGAGCACATGCAGTTCAGTTTAGGATTTTAAGAAACATAATCACCAAGTGTAAAACAAGTTCTGCTGCGCATGTGCCAGTAGCAACTTTAAGAGGCTCTTAAACTGGCCAAATGAGTGTGGATTTTCATAGGGTTAGGACACTTCTGAACTGTCCCCTACCAAGTTTCAAGTCAGAAGAAAATATTTGCGAAATAGTTTATTTCTCCACTAAGCTCACTCTTGGAAAAGGTTGATGCTGAACCATTTTTGCTCAAATATTTAAAAACATTCAACATGAAACAGAAACCAGAGATGGAAGATTTCAGCCTTCATGATTAAAATTTGCCAGACTTACAAGGAACTGAAAAATAGGGTATTATAGTGGTGCAATATGTATAATATGGGCTTCATCTGTGCAATAAATGAGAAAGAAGTTACTAAATGGAAGATAATCAAGAAGTTAAAAATGCTCAATTCAGTATGTTTTATGATCACATGCAAACTCCAGTGCTGAACAACAGACAAGAAGCCCGTGACTCTAAAGTGAAACAACTGAAATTTGTATAATCTAAATCCCCCAGTTTGACTGTTGTCTTGCATTGAATGCTATTATTTTATAGGAACAAGTGCAAACATTTACAATGTTACCAGGTAAGAACTCTTACCTCAGCTATACTAATGGAAATGATGAAGAGAGGAGGAGGGATACAGTTTGCTCTTTCCAGGTAGGTTCCTCTGGCATTTTCAGGAAGCATCCATTTGGAAATGGACTCATGAATCTTGTCACAGCTAGTACAAACTCTAGAGTTTCTTTCATTGTTTTCCTTCTCTTCCTCCTCACCAGACGTATCCGTGTTCATCCTCTCCATCTCCATATTACTTACTCAGAAAAGGCCAAGTATTTAGGAATTTCAAAAACCTGTTCCATCAAACATACAGGTTACTATCTTACACACAATCAGCACAACATTCAGATGACTGGTAAATTTTATAGGAATAATCTCTAGCATTATGATGACAAACTTACACATCACCTTTCATCCAGAAAGGTTCCCAAAAGCACTTTACAAACTTTATAAACCACTCCACCTATTGTCTAACAGCACAAAGCAACACTACACAACAATTAAGACAGAACTGAAGACTCTTGCTTCCAGGTAACATTACAGAGGAATGTAAGGTAAGCACAATACAACTAACTAAAATTGACTTTGGCTAGGACTACATGGCTAAAAATCCCTATTTTTGGGGGGGAACTATCATGAACTCTTTAATGACCCATTCAATGACCTCAAACCATATGCTAAAGTAGCAGCAATTTGCATCCTCTACAGCTCTGGAGGCAGTATCCCTGACCCCTTCCATTTGGGATTCATAGGGTGAAACGGAAGCAGCTTTATTTATGGCTTCATAGGACATTGCCTGGAAATGCACTGAATCAAGTCTCTCCCACTGTATGCTATACCAGCCAGGTCCAGACCACTGCTGGAGTGGGGACAGTAGTCAGCTAGCCTCACAGTTGGGGGTCTCTGGAGTCCCACAACCTAGGTTCTGCCAGTGTAGGTCTGGCCCTTTCTGTTTTACAGATATACGATGTAGATTTCTTTTCTATCAGATAGATCGCTTAGATGGACACAGCCACCTTGAAATGTACCCGCCCTACCCCTTACAGCCGTGGCTCATGAAACCTTACACGGGACACCTGGACAGCAGTAAGGAATGGTTCAACAACAGGCTGAGTAGGTGCCGAATGACAGTTGAATGTGCATTTGGCAGATTAAAGGCACGCTGGCGATGCCTTTATGGCAGGCTAGACCTTAATGAGGATAATATTCACATGGTCATAGCCACGTGCTGTATGTTGTATAATCTCTGTGAAGCTAAGGGTGAAAGGTTTGATCAGGGGTGGAGTGCTGAGACAGACCGCTTGGCTACTGATTTTGAGCAGGCAGATGCCAGGGCTGTCAGAGGAACCCAGAGGGGGGCAGTTTGAATCAGGGAGACTTTGAGGCAGCACTTTGACAATGAGCACCAATACTGTATCTCTCTGTCACAGGTGCTAGTTTTCCTAGGACGCAATGGTGTCATTTTGGGCCTTATATTCCTGTAAGACAATGATAACAATGTCTGTGTATGTATTGGTAGTGCTTGCAATCTCAATTTGTAGAAAAAAATAAAGGTGATTCACTATTAAAGAACTTTGATTTTATTCAACAAGAAACAGCACATGCAAACGCCTCATGGGAAATAAGGAACCAGGGAAAGACAGAATTTCACAACTGTGTATAGGTCCAGTTATCATTGTGAAAGTTGTCCGAGGGGATGGAGTGAAAGGGGAACTGATCTGCTCAGTCTACAGCACTTAAGGACTGTAACATCTACATTTGCTCCTCCATTACTTTAATCATCCTCTCAGTTGCGTCTTTAACAAACACTTGATTCTCTTTTCTGTCCTGCCATTCGACTTCCCAGCACTCCTTATGTTCCCTTTTTTCTGCATTGGAGCACTGCAGTACCTCCTGGAACATGTCTTCTTTGCTGCGTCTTGGGCGCTTTCTTATCTGGCGGAGACGCTCGGAAGAGGTGCGTGGGGTGTTCCTGAAGGCCACATCTGGTGAAGCACATGGGGCAATGCACAGAAGCGGGATTGTTAAATTCACGCACAGTATTGTAATTTTTCAGTTAAATTCACCTTTTGCAACATTGCAATCACTTTTTCACTGACCCTAGCCAGGCACACATCTCCGTGAACAGCCAAGGCATGGTGAGTGTTGTGGGGGGAGGTTGCTCCACATGGGGAAAAGAGCACACACTCTCTGCAAGGCTCGTGGTGTAGCAGTCTATGGGGAAAAAAATCTAAAATTGTCCCCGACTTTTCCACAGGCAGGGGTCATTCTAGCAGACATCTCACTGCTAAAGGCAAGCAAGGAAACAAGGGTACATCTACTCCATGCTTGTGACTTCCACCCTACTCTCTATGCTGCTCACCTATGTGCCACTTTGGTCCCTGCACAAGTGATTGCCGAATGGGAGAAGGTGCTCTGCCACAGAACCTTCAGCAGAGGATTACCGAGTACCTCCAGGAAACTTTCCTGGCGATTTCTCTGGAGGATTCCCAGGAGATCTCGGCATGCATCAACACCCTGTTCTGCCATACCGATTAGCTACACAGGGAAACATCCACCTCACAGAAACAACCAGCCTCCCACATTTCTATACCCTGAATCCACCTTCGCACTACACAAGTCACAGCCACTTACCAGGCATCTCATCTCCTGCTCCTTGCTCCCCAGAGAGCGACTGCTGAGACTGGCTAGACACCTCTGGAGTTGAGAACAGTTCCTGGCTGCCTGCCCCATCAAGCGACCCCGCCAGGAGCTGCATATCCTCATCTAACTCCACCTCTTCATCAATAACTTCATCCTCCAGGTTAGGTCCTCTTTCTGCCGCCTCCGTTCCCTCCAAAGTATCCATGGGGCTCTTGGGGGTGAGGTAGGGTCACCACCAAGGATAGCGTCCAGCTCCTTATAGAACTGGCAGGTCTTAGGTGAAGCACCAGAGTGATGGTTTGCCTCCCTTGCCTTATAGTACGCCTGCCTCAGCTCCTTTATCTTCACTCGGCACTGCAGCGTGTCTTGATCATAGCCCTTTTCACACAAGCCTCAAGGAATGTGTCCATAGGTATCCCAATTCCTATGGCTCAAGCACAGCTGGGACTGCACAGCCTCCTCTCCCCATATACTGATCAGATCCAACAGCTCTGCAGTGATCCAAGCAGGAGAATGTTTGGTGCGATAAGCTGCCATGGTCACCTGGAAAGATGCAATGAGACCTCTCCACGCCAAGCAATCAGGAAATGGAATTTCAAAAATTCCCAGGATTTCTAAGCGGGAGGGGCGGATGGTTGTTTACCTGGCTGTAGGGCAATGGAATTCAAACTGCTGACCAAAGCGGTCAGGATGGGCATTGTGGGACACCTCCTGGATGCCAATTAAAGCAATGAAATCAAGCGTGGTGTCTACACTGGCACTTTGTCGAAAAAATTGTAGAGGAAAAAGATGTAAGTCTCTTGGGGTGCATGTATTTAGTCGCCAAAACTAGGTATTTTTCCCTGACAAAAGTCACATCGCAGTGTGTACGCACACACTGTTTGGTTGACAAAAAGCAGTTTTTGGCAACAAAACTTGGTTGTTTAGACAAGGCCCTAATAAGGGTGTCTCCTGCTGATGATGTGTGAGCAAGAACAGAAGGAACAGTTAAAATACCAATGTCCAGCTGCTAGGTTGGAAAATTATATTAGATATCAGAATGTTCCTTCTTTCTCCTAAGGATATAGCTATGAGAGGCTCAGTCTTACCTCTTTTTTAAAAACAACAAAATGGTGCCCCAGCAGCAAAGCAATCCCTAGCCAAAGCTGAAATTTTACTTCAGTAGTAACTCCAAGCATTAATGACAACTACTGACATACTAAAAGACACTTATTATAGTATCCAGATGATCCTAAGAGAACTTACTTCAAAGTACTGACTTTGATCTAGCTTGTGGGATATGAGTGGTAAACAGATTCTAGGCATAAGGTATTTTTAAATGTGTTCTCAGACATTGGATAGGTCCAACTACCACTGTGGTAAAGCAGCTGTCTGTAGTGTAATGCACATTTAAGAAAATATGATGTCTTTATGGCCAATTTTTTTTTTTAAAATAAAAAACCCCTCTCCACCCACTTCTCAATCTCCTTTCATCAAAACCACTGTTAGTTTATCTGGGCTGCATTACTGGTTGTTATGGGTTTCTAGTCTAGGTTTTACATGTTCTTTTAATATTGCCAACAGAATGCCTTTGTGGTACTGGCACTGAACAAAAGCAACTGCAGGACCCTAGAACGCTGACAGGTTTTTTTAGAAATGCTAGGCATTATAATTACAAACCCACTAACTTCATTCAACAAGCACTCTGGGGCTGTACACGCTGAAAGGATATGTTTAGACTGGAAACGCTGTGACATGGCCATTTCAGAGGAATGTTCTCCAGCCTCGAGGCACATCCCTTAGAGCGGCTCTCTGTGCAGGAGCCGTTTTTATAGGGATACCAAAACCCCCAAATGACTGCACTACACTCGCATCGCCCCAGCCAGAGGCTGGTGCTTGGCCCTGAACGTAGGAGGCAGAGACTCTGTCCCCTCAACGGCCTGGGCAGCTTTCCCCCCGGGAAGCGTTTCTGGGGAGTTTTAGGTAAAGAAGCTGAACCAAGTCAAGTTACCGAAGTTGAATTCCAGCCCCGCCCGCGAGGCTCAGCGACACAAGGGCTCCCCGTGGGGGCAAGGCGCCAAGTTACCTCACGGCTCACGGACTCGCCCCGACTTCCAGACAGGACTACCACGGAGACCCAACCGCTGCCGCCGGCCCGCCCCCGCGCCAGCCCCCTCCTCACGCTGCCCCGGGACCCGGCTCCGGCCTACCTGGCTGCTCCGAGTTCGGCGCTGCCGCCTCCCGACTCCAGAGGCTGGTGCTCTGCGCCGGCCCCTCCTACTTCTGCAGAGTAGCATCAGCCCCCGGAGCCGCTCCCCGGCCCCGGCCCGCCCTGGGGCAGCCCCAGGAGGAGCCTCCCTCCCTCAGCGGCGTCCCAGGGCGGGCAACCTCCGACACGCCCTCGCAATGAAACGGCCCGGCCGCACGCCCCAGTCTCCCCAAACTGCATCCAACCGCCAGGCTCGGTCCCCTCAGCCCAGGGGCTTTAGGGGCTGTAGCCCAGGGGCTTGAGCTAAGGGGGGCCCCCCGCAGGCCGGATCACACTGCGAGCCGGACACCGGTCCCTTGCGGCCCCTGAGTGAGGGGTGTTCAGGGAATCTATGCTACTGCTCCCGCTCCCAGCGCCGGCTCCGCAGCTCCCATTGGCTGGGTACAGCAGCCAATGGGAGCTGCGGCACCATCCGTCACAAATTGCTACTTCTGGACCAGGGCTGAGGCAACCAAGGAAATCAGGCAGCATTGAAGTGATATGATTACAAATAATAGCCTGACATTACTAAAAAAAAAAAAAAAACCTTGAGTATTTAAAAAAACCCCTGTAATTTACTGCGTCACAATAAAAACATAGGTGGTCTTATAATAATAATAATAATGAAACTAATGTTTTTGAAAAGTCAATAAAAGGAATTAAACTATATTTGCAGGAAATTATGATACAGAATGGTCAATTCAAGCAATTAGAAGAGCAAAAAAGACAAACCCTGAGCCCTCACCTGCTAACTCTAATCCCAAACCCTAACTCCTGTTCCCCAGTACTCTAACCCAACTCCTCCCCCTAACCTTTGACCCTATCCCACACCACAACCCAACCCTAAACCCTGACCCCTCCCTTCACCCTAGACAACCCAACCCTGACCCCTGCACCCTAACCCTTCAACTAACCCTGATCCCCGACCATCACCCTATTATATCATAACCCCCACCCTGACCATAACCCTAACCCCTTAACTCTAACCCACCTTTGAACCCAAACTCTTACCCAACCTAATTCCTAAAGCTAATCCTAACCCTTGCGTTAAACACAACCCTCTAACCCTCAACCCTGCCTTCCAGAACCTAACCCCTCCCCTCCCCTAATCTAACTCTCCCTCTCAACCCCTAACCCTTTCCAAACCTAATCCACACCCTAAACCTAACTCCCCTTTACCCTCACCCTAATCCAACCCCTAGATCCTGACCCTGTAATCCCAACCCTAAACCCTCAAACCCCAATTTCCCCCCTCCATGGGTGGCACCATCCTCTTTCCAGTGGCGGGGGGGCTGAGGTGGGCTAGACAGAAAATTGGGGGGGCTGCACCCCCCTTGCCACAAGGCCCCACCCATCTCTATGGCTCTGCTCCCTGCTCCTCTTAAGTGCCAGCCCTGCCTCCTGCCCCATCCCCCCATTGCCTCCCTCCTGGCCAGGTTGGCGGCTGGAGCCGGCCGGGGGGGGTGACTGATGCGCTGGCTGTGCCGTGGTATGGGCAGCTGGGGTGCTCCCCTGTCTCCTTCTCCTGCTGCTGCTCTTGGCCCTGGGGATGCGGCTGCCCATCAGCTTCCCGCCACCCTTCGACTGCTTGCAGCCCCCAAAAGCCACCTGGGTGGGGGAACCTGGCTCTCGCAGAGCCCTCAGGGAGCATCAACCACGGGCGGCAGGCCCAGGAGCCTGGGGCAGAGTGGGTCTGTTGGGTTGCTGTGGGGCACCCTGAACCCTCTGCCTGCTCTGGGCAGCGCATAGTTAAGTGAGGACTTCTGCGCTGCTGCTGCTGCTGGTGGCACTGTCATCAGAGCTGGGCGGCCAGAGAGCTAGCCATGTTGGCTAATGAAAAGTGTGTCTCTCCCATGGAGGAGCAGTGACAGCCGGCGGCCAGTCAAGGTACTGCACAGAGAGTGGTGTTTTCCATGGAGCAGCAGTGACACCAGTTGGGGTAATGCACAGTGTGTTTCTGTTGCAGCGACAGTGACACCTGGTGGTCAGTCAGGCTAATGCACTGAGCACATTTCTTTGGAGCAGCAGTGACATCCAGTGGCCAGTCGGGATGATGCACAGACAGTGGTTCCCTTGGCGGAGCAGTGACACCCAGTGGCCAGTTGGGGTAATGCATGGGGGGTGGTCTCCCATGGAGGAGCAGTGGCACCCTGTGGCCAGTCAGGGTAACGCACAGAGTGTGTTTCCGTTGCAGCAACAGTGATCCCCCAGTGGCCAGTCAGGGTAATGCACAGAGTGTATCACCCATGAAGCAGCAGTGACCCCCAGTGGCCAGTCGGGGTAATGCATGGGGGAGTGCCATGGAGGAGCAGTGACACCTAGTGACCAATTGGGGTAATGCAAAGAGCATGTTTCCCATGGCGCAGCAGTGACACCTGGTGGCCAGTCAGGGTAACACAGAGAGTGTGTGTCTCCCTTGGCACAGCAGTGACACCCAGTGGGACAATGGGGGGGTGTGTGTCTCCCATGGAGGAGCAGTGACACCTAGTGGCCAATTGGGATAATGCACAGAGCATGTTTCCC